CCTTACCCGATTAAATGCCTGTTGTGCCTCGTTGAACAGGCACGGTACGTCCACCTTGTTCATTTTTTCCTGGTCTTCTTCGGTTACCAGGTATCGAAGGTGGTTCGCTACTCCCACAGGAGCGGAAAGAACCCAGACGTCCTTCGGAATAGTTATGACTATCGACCTCTTGCGGCCGGGATCTACGCTCGGGGAAAGTAATTGGTTGACAAACTTCGGGATTGAATTCAGCCCGTCGACTTCTGAAGACGACCCCTTTCTCGGCACCTCCAGGTCTCCCAGCCCGGAAAAATCCTCCAAAATGGATGAGTCCACACCGTAAAAAAAGGAACTAAGGGGATCGTCCGCGCTATGAGTCCCTTCATTAGACCTCTCCTTTCCCGCTCGGGCCTCCTCGATCATGGATTCGGTATAGGAAGGTGACCCTGAAATCTCTATTACATCGGGTGCCTCTGTCGGGGCGTGGCAGGAATTTCGGGAAGTCTCGGCCCCGGTCTCCTCATCGACCCCCTGGGCCTGAAGGGGATCAGCCTCATAGATCTCCTCTTCAACGGTTGCTCGTTCCTCGGGGGATGTCGGCCCGTGGGCCACAAAAAGATCATCTTCTTCGGGCTCATCCCTGAGCCAATAAAGCGAATCTGAGTCGGGCGCTCGAGAGCTAGAACTTTCCTTTGGTTTACGGGCCAATCTTTTCTTTGGCTTCTTCTTCTCTGAGCTCGGGGTGCCTGGAGCCTTCCTTTTCTTCCTTTATCCTGCTATAGCCCCGAGCTGCCCCAAAGTGAAGGGGTCAGTGGATGAATCCTCGTTCCCTACTAAAGGCCTAAGCTCAATGGTCTTAGGAAAGCATGCAGAAGGAAAAGTGAAGAAAAAGGGTAAGTATGATGCGAATGAGAGAGCGAGATGTTACCTATTACAAAAGGGTCTTACCGTGAGAACGGGGCTCCCAACGGCCCCTCGAGAGTTTGCGCCATGAGCAATCAGAATAAGGCATCTGTGAACAAATGCACTCGATCCACTTCTTGAGCCGAGGGATCGCGTTTGGGATTCGAGCGACGGCTGCACCACCTCAAATACCAGTAAGAAAAGAGGAGATGAAGGTAATATGGCATTCAAAGGGAAACTATACTTACGAGATGCGTTCCACTTCTCGGGGAATGACATGAGTTTGGGGGTAACCAAGTAGTCGGTATTCAACCAAACGAAACATCCCTACCAGCCCCGATCCTGATTCTCATTGATGCTCGAGAATGGGGCTTTGTGGCCTGGCGTGTGAGCTTTATTAGCCCCCCTCGGAAGATTCAGGGACTGTATAGGTGGAGAAGGTGATCGATGGTGAACCAACGAGATTTGGTCTTGTTCACGAAATAACGAAGGAGGATCACGATCCTCCATAGTGACGGGTGGATTTGACCGAGGCATACTTCGTACATCTTGCATAAAGCCAAGATAATCGAGTCTACTGGGCCCAACGTGAAGGCAAAAGCGTAAACACTTATATAACCCTCCACGTGGGTAGTGATGGCGTCCGCAGGCCCGGGAACTACTACGTCCTTACCCGCCCGGTTGCAGTCCTCTCGGACCGCGGGGAGGACGTCTTCGGTAATGGAGCATATATATCTTGATACTCTCTCACACCGGACCTGCACCGACAAGGGCTTCTCAACCTTAAAGTCATCGGCAACCGAACAACCCCCGTGAATGAATATTTTCAAGGGAGGCTCGGCAGTCGATTCATCGGTACCCGCGTCAGGAGCAGACCTCTCGAGGACGACCACATTAGGAGTAGTCTCATCGATTTCAGCAGTCGGTTATGAAGAAGAAGTAGCGACTTTTTCGGGAGCAAATTTGGAAGTTTTAGCCATTGTTATCTGGAAAAAGCTTGAAAAATATGAAGAGAGGTTGAAAGATGAAAGGTCGAGTGCGCTGGGTAGAAAATAAGTAAAAACTTGCAACTTACTGAGAAGTTTTAAAGAATGGGGGTGAAAATATTAGAGTATGAAGAAGGGTAGTGATATCTTGAAAACTCGAAGGCAGAAGCTTGGTCAAAAGATAAAAAATGAACGAAGGAGGAAAGTATTTATAGAGGTTACGCACTGTTTTGCATTCAGGGATGGCCAACCGATGGATGACGCATGTTTGAAATCATAATTACACGACTGACGGGACGTTTCAGATTCTTTTTCATTTCTGTCACGCTGTATTGAAGAAGGAATCGAAGTGCATATGTCATTTCTCGTCGTTTTCGTAAACTTACTCTCCGAGAAACGAGGTGACTATCTGTATACGGGTGAAACCGAGCCCTTTAGATGCCTCGGTTCCCGATAAAGTAAACAGAGCAGAGATGTGACTGTAAGAAACCGGAATCGGGGTAAGGAGCCCCTCGAGTCGGCATCCGGGTAAAACACATGCCATCGGAAGAATCAAAGCCACATCCCCCGGGTCCGATTCGAACCCTAAAACTTCGGAGAGCATTACCAGATAATCGAGCATGAAAAACAAAGGAATGTGATATCCGTGCCTAGCCGGATGTTATGGCGTGAATCTCAGCACGTATCGACAAAAAACCAGTGATTAGTAAAATAAAAGATTTTTACCTCTTTTGGAATTGTACTTAGTGTAAAACTCCCCTACTATATAAATGGGAGTCTAACTATTCATGAGGGATTATTGTAACACGTATATCAAGGCAATATACTCTTATTTTCTCTGTTATTCAAAGTTCTTACTTTTGTTCATCAGTTCTTCATCATCGTGAGCCCGGGATCGAAGGCAGGCGTTTCATTAAAGTCGTTAATGAGTCTAGGATCACTCCCCTTAATTGGTTTGACAATTTATTACGTCCTTTATCTATTTAATCTAACGCAACTTATCATTTGTATTGAATTAACCAGCATATCCTTAAAACCACATATAAATTTAATTGTTATCCATTTTTTTTAGGGTAAACACTCAGCAACACCTATTCAAACTAGGCGGCAGTAAAAATAATTGGAATATAAATATAAACAACGGAAGATTAGCCATGATTATTTGCATGTAATATAGATAATATATAATTATAAACTTTAGTCAAATATAAAATAGATACTTTATCTCTTGAAATGTGACAATAACCAAATGAGCCTTCAAGCACGAGCAAATATCTTCCACGATCATCCTCCAGTTACACGGTCTTCTGTTGTGTTACTAGAATAATACCCGAAATTTACAAAACTCATGTGGGAAAAGTTTTCTTAGGAAAAAACGTGTGAAAACATCTAGACTCCTTGATGGAATAAGACCTTATATATAGCCACAAGTTTTAGGGTTTAAAACTATTTCTTAAAACTGCTTAGCCTTTCTTTTTTACCAAGAAATCAGATTTCATTTAATTTTTAATTATTCAGGCACAACAAGGATCATATGATTTAATCAACGAGGCTTTGTATTAAGAAATTAATTCAGAATATCTGAATTAATCCTACCATAATAAATTACGGATTATTTACTAATTATTCATAACTGCACTTCTTAGTTTAATTTTAAAATTAATTCATTAAATCTTACTTAATTCCACATGTTAAGATTAAAATATTAATCGATTAAATTAAATTAAAATATTAATAATTTAATTTATTAATTATTTTCTTTAGAACGTCGCTTAATTTATTTCATGTGACAGATATAAAATTCACGTGCATGATTTACACATGAAAACTTATAAGCTTTCATAAAGGTGTATCATCAATCTCTAGACATAAACATAAATTTTATCAACTAACTATTACTTCGCCAATGTATATTGTTAACATCCAATTTATCAGGCATATTAACTCACAAAAAGTTTCACATTTAATAAATTAAAATAACAAATGATATACATAATCATTAATAATTATATCAAAATTAAGATTATAAGTACACTTAATGGACTAGTGAATTTATTTTATTAAATATACAATACTTATTTTTGCTTGATCCGTTTAATACATATAAAATGTACTAGCACAAGAAATCAGAATTATACCATTCACATAATCAAGATAAACTATATTCAATCTTGTGCTACAATCATATCGATGACTTGTCCAATTCCATCTCAGATTGTGAACATAAACTTTATAACTTATAAGAACCGGTGATTTAATCTTTCATGTATAAACTAAGCTCGATACACTAAATCATCTATAAACAAAGGACAAAGACGGATTACATGATCTATTTAAATTTTTGTTAAAATTAATTAAAGAATTATTTTGTGAAAAGTATTATATAAATAGATAATCAACAATATATATCCCAACAAAACAAGAAGCCACTTTACCTTGCCCCTTATGTATCATCAAACTGAAAAAGCAAAAAACAAAAAAGAAAGATTAAAAATCAGAAATAGAGGAAACTAAGAGTGTGTTTGGTACGATTAAAATTTCTTTCTGAAAAATATTTTTTATTTTTTCATGTTTGGTTGACAGAGATTTAGAAAATATTTTCCTCACNTCACCACCACCCCCTCCCCTATCACCCTTACCCTCTCACCACCGTTACCCAAACCCTTAGACTCCGACGTATCACCCTTCCCTGATTAACTTATATATTTTTTATTTTTCAACCGAACACCAAAAAATAAATAAAAATCACTTATTTTTAAAAAAAATATATTTTTCTATGTACCAAACACACCCTAAAATAAGACAAAAATAAAAAGAGGAAAAGGACAACACATTAAAGAAATAAAATATCGAAAATATCAATGTCTCGAGTCTACGTGTCATCTGGGGAATAGTTGGTTCTGGAAAAATCGTTCGACTTTTAGCATTGCCGAGGACTATATAAATACCAGAAATGGAATCAATCATTCAAACTCCACTCTAATAATTGATTGACAAGTTTAACAAGCAAAGCAATCATCTCTGATTGTAGTTATCGTCTTTTACCCTCTCAAAGTAAGATTGCATTTCCTTTTGGAGTGCGCTTCTTCTGAGTAGTAAATAACACTTCCATTTTTGCACATAAATGTGAGTTTTCTCTAAGTTCTACAAGCTCCTTTTTAGTTGTATTCGTAATTTTGTTTTTTGAGCTAAGAATGTGGAATATTGAATTGTGTCCGTTAAGATTTAAATTTCGTGGATTCAACTTTTAATATTGAATTCATTATATTTTTAAAGTTAATGAGTTCATATGGACCGTTTGTTAGCAAATTTATTGAATAAATATATGTTGCACGTCGATTTCATATGAACTCGGTACCGGTACCTTAAGCGTGGATCCCCTGGTGTCAGCTGTTTCATCTAAAAAGAAAGTTTAAAAGATTTATTTTTTAATTTTTTGGAATTGTTTGGAGTAATATTTAAAAGCTTGATTACAGGTGTTTTTGCTGCATCTTGTAATGTGTATTGTTATGCTTATACGTGCTTGATGAGAAAGCCGTCTGGTTAATTTTGAACGAAAAAACGGTGAAAATTTTGTTGTTGAGACTTGAGAGGAAGTTCTTTTTTTGGAAAATGGTTGTACGTTCAGCTTCTATGAGTTACCTCATGTGTATCAATCGTTAATTCATGCTTTGTTTTTGGGGAAGAATTTGAGAGGTACCAGAGGTGATTTTTGATCGTGCGTCCAATTGTTCATCTTCCTTAGAAATTGCCACCTCCTATTTAGCTGAATTTTCAAGCTTTTTCCAGGGACTTTATTGAGTTTTGACAAGTATGTCCTTGGATTTGCTTTGAATTTACCAACTTTTCTGATTAATATATAAATGGCAGTTCATTTCATACGACCAGGTGGAGTGATACAAGATTTGAAGTTTGGTTGAAAACTCGCTTTAAAAATTTGAATCAAGATAGAGCATTGTTCCTCTCCTAGCAAACGGCTAGTGTTGTCAGTCGCGAAGAGCTTATCTGGTTCTGATAATGTTAATATTATTACTTTTGAGCTAACAGAATGCTTTTGTTGCTGTTTTCTCTGCAGTTTCTTGTCTAATAGCAAGAAGATGACAGTGACACCTAAGATTTCGATCAATGATGGAAACCTTGTTGTCCATGGAAAGACCATACTGAGGGGAGTGCCTGACAACATTATCTTGACTCCTGGATCGGGTGTTGGGCTTGTTACTGATGCATTTATTGGAGCCACAGCTTCGCAGAGCAAATGCTTGCATGTGTTCCCTGTTGGGGTTTTAGAGTAAGCAATTTAATTGTTCTCCTACTTTATCTGTAATTACTCACTGTGGACTTTTAGATATTTTCTTTTAGGAAGCTTACATTTCAAGGTTCTGCTTGCTCATTTAATGGCTTCTTTAATTTCTGGAAAGGGAAGACTCAGAATTTTTCAGAATGAGACAATCTTTCTTTGAACTCTGTTGTCCATAGGACCACTGCTAATCAATTTATTAGAGAGTATAAGTATGCACAAAAGACTTGGTAAGGTTCATCATCTTTTGTTTGAGCAAGATAATTTGGTAAAAAGAAGAAAAAATATAGTTTTCGCCTTCTCTCAATATTATGCTATAACCATTGTAAACCAATTTAATAAATTTTAACATAATTTGGATGTATGGATTTTGACTTGGTGGATAATAGGCTAATTGTGCTACTAATTCTACTCCTTTATTATTTGTCCAAATTGATTGGTGGGATGTAAGTGTCCATATAGTGATGAAGTCCATCGTTAGTGGTGAAAATTTACTTCACATTGTTAAATTTCTTACTTCATGCTTAGTGGATGAAAGTTACTTTGATCAATTCCATGCAGAAGAGCTACGTGTTTATCATATTTCAGAAGATCTCAGAGAATTGGGTTGCAGAAGAGTGAAGACACGAATATGTACATCTAGAAAATGCTACTCATTTTACAAAAATCAGTTCTTTGCTATCTATTGCTACAGGGATACTCGGTTCATGTGTTTATTCCGTTTCAAGCTGTGGTGGATGACTCAGAGAATGGGGACAAGTGGAAATGATATTCCTTTGGAGACCCAATTCATGCTTGTGGAGAGCAAAGACACCACCGAGGGTGAGCGTGAAGATGCCCCAACTATCTACACTGTCTTCCTACCTCTACTTGAGGGACAGTTCCGTGCTGTTCTTCAAGGCAACGAGAAGAACGAAATGGAGATTTGCCTTGAGAGTGGTGAGTTTCCTTCTAGTCATTGGAAAATCCTTCAGTACCACAATGTGATTTCTCGTTTTAAGCAAATTTTCTTCACCCATAATGAACAGTGCTGTAGAAAAAAAATCCTTCAGGATAAGCTTGCAAGTCCTATACCCCATTTCCACAAAACGAGGCTATCATAACTTTTAGGGTTGGACCTACTCTATAAACGTCAATGCTGACCGAGTTACAGATAATCGGTAGATCATCAAAGTAGTAGTATATGAGAAAACCAATATGACCTTTGTCTTTTGGTTTGATTTATTTTTGCAGGAGATAATGCTGTTGAAACCAACCAAGGTCTTTATCTTGTCTACATGAATGCTGGGACCAATCCCTTTGAAGTCATTAACCAGGCTGTGAAGTAAGCTCTAAGTTCCTGAGATCTTTCTGATCTAAATCACCAAATAGTATAGTGTATCTGCAGTGTGGAGGAATTGTTGAATAATGTAATTGATAATCAACTAGCAAGAATGTAACTGCAATTCATTTGTAAATCCATTTCTAGATTGTATAATAATGTGTTTTGCTCCTCTCTCTTTTTCAACAGATCTGTTGAGCAACACTTGCAAACTTTCCATCACAGAGAGAAGAAGAAGGTAAAGGTTGCTTTCTTAGTTTTTTAATGGTGAAATCTTGGTTGGACCATCATCTGAAGAGGACCTGTTAATATCTTTTGTTGGTCTCATGCAGTTGCCATCAAGTATTGATTGGTTCGGGTGGTGCACCTGGGATGCCTTTTATACTGATGTCACAGCAGAGGGGGTTGAGGATGGCCTTAGAAGGTAAAACTTGTTTAACTCTTTATTTGGCTGCTTCTTAGTTTTTGTTTGTAAATGTCTTTTGGGTAACTAATTTATGTAAAGCTTTTTACGTCAGCTTATCTGAGGGTGGTGTTCGTCCACGTTTCTTGATCATTGACGATGGCTGGCAACAGATTGGTAATGAAGCACCCAAGGACGCTAGTTGTGTAGTTCAAGAAGGAGCACAGTAAGATTTCTTGCTATGCATAATCATTATTTTACTGTTATTTGCACATCTAGTAAATAAAATTTCATTGATGATAGCATTCTGGTGCAACAACTATTTGCAAGAAATAGACTCTTCTTACATATGTACCTGCGATGTTCGTTTTGTAGGTTTGCAAACAGGCTAACAGGAATTAAAGAAAACAAGAAGTTCCAAACGAAAGGCCTGAAGCATGTAGTGGAGGAAGCCAAGAAACAGCACAATGTCAAGTAAGTTTGCAACTTTTGATCCTTGTATTTTATAGAATGTCCAAGAATTGCGCGCACATGCACTCACCCTTTTGCTTTGTAATTGAATTACTTAATGTTCTGTTGATTCAAAGTACATTTCAGCACTCAAATCTTTTCCTCCTTTGCCTCATAGGATCTGTCTCATAGTGATACTTGTTAACAATGTGCTTACTATGCAGGTATGTGTATGTATGGCATGCCCTAGCTGGTTACTGGGGTGGGGTACAACCTGCTGGTCCTGGGCTCGAGCACTATGAAACTGCTTTGGCATACCCTGTTCAGTCCCCTGGAGTGATGGGAAACCAACCTGACATTGTTATGGACAGTCTTGCCATTCATGGCCTGGGTTTGGTGCACCCAAAAAAGGTCTTCAACTTCTATAATGAACTACATGCCTATCTGGCATCCTGTGGGGTTGATGGAGTCAAGGTCGATGTCCAGAACATCATTGAAACACTTGGTGCTGGTCATGGTGGCAGAGTTTCCTTAACAAGAAGCTATGTTCAGGCCCTAGAAGCATCCATTGCTCGAAATTTTCCTGATAATGGATGCATTGCCTGCATGAATCATAATACTGATGGGCTCTACAGTTCCAAGCAAACTGCTCTAGTTAGAGCTTCTGATGATTATTATCCTCGTGACCCAGCTTCTCACACCATCCATATATCCTGTGTTTGCTACAACTCGCTGTTCTTGGGAGAATTCATGCAACCAGATTGGGACATGTTCCATGTTAGTATCTCGTATTTACTCTACCTTCATTTATATATCGTTTATGTTTGACGATTTCATATGATGATCAATTAAAGTTAGTTAATAATGAATGCATTAGATGTAAAATTAGGTAAATTAATAACTGAGATGTTCGTTGCAGAGTCTTCACCCTACTGCTGAATACCATGCTGCAGCTCGAGCAGTTGGAGGATCACCAATTTATGTCAGGTAATAAGTTGTCCTCCTGTATACTCTTCTTCCTTATTGCTTATTTTAACTTGAATGTTGGAACTGTTGTCTAACCTGGTGTCTTTTTCTATTATTCAGTGATAAACCCGGAAATCACAACTTTGAGCTTCTAAAAAAGCTTGTCCTTCCTGATGGATCAGTGCTTCGCGCTCAATTGCCTGGTCGACCAACTCGTGATTGCCTATTTGTTGATCCAGCTAGAGACGGGACAAGGTCGATTCTATTTTGCAACTGATGTATCTATAGAATCTCTAGGCTATAATGTGATCATTCTTGTAAATGAGCACTGAAACTTAACCTTTGTGTTTTATGTTGGACAGCTTGCTTAAAATATGGAACGTGAACAAATGCACTGGTGTGGTGGGTGTATTTAACTGCCAAGGTGCTGGCTGGTGCAAGGTCATAAAGAAGACACGTATCCACAATGCATCTCCTGGAACACTTACAAGTTCTGTCCAAGCCACTGATGTCGACACCATTGCTCAGCTCGCTGGCCCTGGTTGGAATGGGGATTCTGTAGTCTATTCTTTTAGATCAGGTAAAGTAATTCCTTATCGTAGTTTTTCCCTAAACCACCAAAAAAAAAGGTGGCTCTGATCTTGCAGACGTATGACCGTGATGTTGGATTACGATTTAACTGTCTCATAATTTAAACTACAGGGGAAGTAGTTCGCCTACCGAAAGGTGCTTCGCTGCCTGTGACACTTAAAGTTCTTGAATATGAAGTATTCCACTTTTCTCCAGTCAAGGTAACCAATTAACATGCTGACCTTTTGTTCTTAACTTAGCTTCTTGAACATATTTTACTAAATTATGAACAAAGAGAAGACTTATAAACATTGTTTTGGTGTAGGAAATTGTAACAAACATCTCTTTTGCTCCAATTGGGTTGCTAGATATGATCAACAGTGGTGGTGCCATTGATCGGTACGAAGTGCATCTAGCTTCTGAGAAGAAACCCGAGCACCTTGATGGCGAAAGCCAGTCTCCGACTGCAACAGTATTACTGAAGGTCAGGGGATGTGGCCGCTTTGGCGTTTACATTTCACAGCGACCCCAGAAATGCTCGGTAGATGGTGCAAACACCGGCTTTGACTACAACAGTGAATCAGGATTGCTGACTCTGAATATCCCAGTTCCACTAGAAGAGGAGATGTATAGATGGAATGTGGAAATCCAAGTCTGAAATATTTATCAAGGAGAAGTGCTGAAAGCTTTTGTATTGTGGAGGAAGACTGATATGAGGATTTAGATCAAGTCTTATTGAGTATCAAGTGGGTCTCCTCAGGGAAGAGTCAAGTGTCTCTGTAATAAAGCTGTAACAGAGCTGTCTGTATTATGTTGAATATGAATCCAATGTTTTCGCTCTCAGTGTATATAGTCCTTGACCTATCATTTCCTAATGAAATAAATCTTTTGCCATTGTCCTTCAAAGGTTATTCGAGATTCTCTCTCATCTCACATGTCCATATTGTGTGTGTTGTCAACTGAATAATGTTTACCAAAAGTCTCTGCAAGAGAAACCTGACACTGCCCTAACTGGTTGAATTGCCAAAAATATGGGCTGCTGTAGTTGTAAAACATTAACTTTCAAATTATGGAACATATGGGTTGCATTACATTAACCTAAAAAAATATGTATACTTTATAACTTTTATAGCCATTTATATTACATTGATCGCGTAAATATTTATTACACTGTCAGTAGGTATACATTAAATTCAATTAATATATGCATGCGCCCGCTAAACTATACTAGCCGCTCCCTCCTTTTGTATTTTCATAAACGAACTGAGAACATCATTACTTCTCAATAGACAAATAACAGCATCATATTATTACAGCAGAACATTAATTAGCACAGTTTGAACTTAATCAAGAATGAATATATTAATAGCTAAGAAACATTGCAATGGAAATGTAAAAAAAAAAAAAACTGATAAAATTAGAACATATAATCTGGACAAAGAATATTGTAAGAAACTTCAGTTGTGTCAATCTCGAACTCCTAACTCCACAAAGCAGTAGGCCCAATATAAAAATCTTCAGTGAAAAGAGGGCATTGATCCTCCAAATATTGTGGAATGTCAGGAACCAAAGGGGGATTAAGTTCAAGTATTGCTGCAGCATAGGCATCCAATTCTTTATGGTAAGAATCAATATCATTATTGGGACAAACAGAGGCAGTTTCTTGATCCTTCTGCACTTGCACAAACAAATTATCAAAGAAGGCCAATTCTTCTTCAGTTAACGACTCAAACGATTCATTGAATGGTGGCAATGCAGTATATGTGGTTGCTATAGCTGCTTCTTCAGTAGAGATTAGAGGCAATTGGCTTAATGTAGCAGCACTTGTTTCTTCTGTGAGTAAACCAACTAAGCTGATGTACTCGTCGTTCCCATTCAAAAGATTAATGCTCAACTCAGAATCTTGGTTTTCTTGAAACTGGAACTGATCAACTGGGGAAGGAGCCCAAGAAATTATAGAAGCCTTTTCTTGATCTTGTGATAAACAAGAACTTGGGACATAATTAAGATGATTCAAATGACCTAGCATTAGCGGCTCATCGGACATGACATTGGCAACAGAATTCTCCCCACTAATGGCCAAAGGGACATTCTGAGAACTTGCACACAAATTAACAGTCTTCGTAATGCGACATAGAACATAGTCCTCATAACAAATTTGACGACGTTGTCTTAAAACTTTCACTATGGTGTCGTTAAGACTATATTCTTTCATACTCCAAACAATTCTTGAATCCGAACAATGATCATTAATATCATCAAAACGAAAACTTTTCTTGAAACCAATGACTGAACCTTTCTTGTCGAAAACAGGTTTACTCTTGTCGAGTACTTTCCATGAGCCGCCACCTCCTACAATTGACCTTCTGAAGTTCTTACAACGGGCTGATGTTTTCTTTAACTGCGTAAAGACATAATCATTAGTCGTCGTATCCAAGTGTTGGAATAATTGAGAAGGCTTATCGTTACCATACAATTCAACAAGTGGAATAGGATGACATCTCATAGGAATGCCACAAACGAACTTCAAAAGATGGCTCATTACATGTTCATCATTGTACGGCTCCATTCTGCATTCGCTTTTCATCATCTTCTGTTTAAACGAAAAGAAGTTTTAATGCAAAAATTAAAGAACTGAAGAAGTAGTAATGCGAAGTTAGATACTAAAAGAGAGCGTATGAGGATTGTGGAAAGAGAGCAAGACAATACGTTGTTATATATAGAGAGAGCGCGTAGAAATAATTAGGAAACAAAGAAATCAAAGAAACCTTAGAAGTATTTCCTACTTCTATAAGGAAACAAATTAGGGAACTCATTGACCGAAGGTATTTCGGAATAGTTTATAGTTTTGTCCCTGCGACATTAGGATTATATTATACAACAATTACTCGATCGCTATTCAAAAAATACAATATGGTACATTAAATATGGAAAACTCTCTATCTGTGAAAAAATTGCGAAAAAATGTATTGAAAAATTATATTGAAATTCACAGTAAATATAGTGATAAATTACTTTGCGTCATCAATTTTTACACTAGCAGTGAACTGTCATGCAACATATATTTTTACACTAGCAGTGAATTATAACCTCTGATAGCAGGTCTATTACTCTTTTATCAGATTTCTAATTAATGTTTATTAAAATCTTTATATTTAGTTACTTAATAAGTTATGTGATTGAATAAGTATTTTTATGCCATCAATGAATAGGGCTTAAATTCAATGTATTGCCACTACTTAACCCTCCATTTATATGACACTATTTCAATTACATAACCTTTATTTGATGCTACTGCTAACATAATATATAAGTTAAATTAACATCTTAATCAAGATTTGGTAAATTATCTTCCCTATATAAAAATATTAGGAAATTCTCCACCTTAAATTTTCTAAGAACAAAGGTTTAATTTATTAAATCGAACGTACGTACTTATTTATTTTTTCATAAGTGAAATATTTAAGAATGACACACTTCTCTTCAGTTATCTCATATATTCTGCCTTAATGCACATCTGATAAAAAAGAAGAAGAGAAGTTATGTGATAGACAGTTGTATTATCTCAAAATATAGTCATATTTTTTTGCTTTTAAAATATTTTGCTGGGTGGAATATTTGTTCTTTTTATTTTCCTGTGTATTTTTGGAAAAAAAATGATAAGGTTATAACAATAATGAAGAAAAAGCTTTCTGTCAGTTTTATCTATTCTAAGGCTAAAGACCAAACTACAAGGAAAACAAAAACAAGAAAAACTTTGAAATTAAATATTTTCCATATACTAAAATCTCATTGTGTGGACAATGCTATTAATTTCATGTATTTTCTTATGATGAATTTCAAGTCCAAACTTTAATTTCGGAGTTGTAATAAAAATATTAAAAGTATTTCCTAATTCGAATTGGAAGACGGAGTTGTAAAAGCAAATAAGGAAAACTTAAAAGTATTTCCTAATTAGAATAGGGAATTAACGGAGTAGTAAGAACAAATTAGGAAAACTCCTTGACATAAGTACTGGGTATTCAAAATACAATGTGGTATATTAAATAGACGTTTAGACATAAAAATGTGAGATTTTAAAAAATGTAGTTTTGAAGTTAAGTTGAAACAAAAAAAAAAATTTGAAATTGTGTTTGGACATACATTTTACTTAAAAAAATATTGCAGTTTTATTTGAGAAAAACTCCTAGACATAAGGTCTTATTACATTAGTATTAGGAAAACTCCTGGAAATTATTTGGAGTTGTAAAAACAAATTGTAATGCGAAAAGAACGGAAGATGTACTAATGCGAAGTTAGACTTTTGAAAGAGAGCAAGACAATACCGTGTTATATATAGAGAAAGCATAGAAATATTTAGAAATCAAGAAACCTTCAAAGTATTTCCTACTTCTGTAAGGAAACAAATTAAGAAACTTATGGACCCAAGTCCGAAGGTATTTCGGAAATTAAATCCCCCCCCCCCCC